CTTATCTTTGCTTTCCTTCTTTTGTTGCATTTATTTTATTCTATTGTATTTTTAAATCTCTGAACATGGTACACATTTCATGGTCTCAGTTTTTCCTCTTTATAGCTCAATATAGAAAAGATAGAGCAAGACTAAATTTTACTTGATAAATGATGTGATGGTGATGTTACTGAGCTGCTTGCTTGAATTTCAGCTTGTCCAGTATGTTATCTTCCGGTGGAGGAAGCTGCCGCCTTAATGCCAGCAGTTCCTTCATTTTCTCCAGTACTTAAAAATTTAACATACATCTATGAGGAAACATTAAACAGAGAAACAGAATTTGGAGGCTCTGATTTTGGTGGATATCCTACTCTTGATCAGCGGAGTGATTCTTATGACATAAGAGAGTCAATGAGCATGCACTGTGGGTATGGGTTTTCCACCTTTCTATTATATTTGATTTCTATGTTCTTGAATATTGTGTATACTTAAGTACTAGATGTTATTTTGTTGATATGCTTGGTTTGTCAATAAAACTGGTCATGCTAGTAACATTCCTATTAAACCTCCCTTTGTCAACCAGATTTGTTAAAGGTCCTAGACCTGGCATTGGAACAGGATTTGACATGGATGAGTCCGATCTCCTTGACATGGAGCAGTGCCGAGGCGTGGTTGTGGCGTCAGCAGTATTTGGTCTGAATCTGCATCATGCTTTTCAAATTATTATTTTCTTGTGATTTATCTGCTACCTTGCTCATTAGAAATTGCCTTCTTCAGGAGCTTTTGATGACATAAACCACCCCAGGAAGATCAGTCAATATTCAAAGGAAACTGTATGTTTCTACATGTTTGTTGATGAAAAAACAGAGGCATTTTTGAAAGACAAATGGGGTATGGATTCCGTAAAAAAAATTGGAATATGGAGAGTTGTTGTTGTTCATAATCTTCCTTATACAGATGGAAGGCGTAATGGGAAGGTAAATTTTTAAATTTTCAATCAGAACTTCTTTTCAGTTTGGCTAGATTATATATGGCCCTAAACTCAACTTAACCAGGCTGTAATAATACTTTTGATGCAGGATGGTAGCGGTTAAACTAACTTGTCCTGTAGATAGTTTAGGAATAAAGGAAATTTAGGTGAGAAACAGAAGAACAAAAATAGTTCAGAGTAAATTAGTGCTCAAGGTAAAAAGATATAGGGGGAAATAAATTAAACGAGATATGTTAGTCATAACAATGATTAGGTGAAAAAACACAGAGAGATAACAGGGAATAAAACCTCAACAGAAAAATTTTTAGTTCATCATCATCCACTCTCTCTTCTTTGTTAATGTCTAGTAGCCTTTATATACACATTAGTTACAACTATAAGGAAAATAACAAAAAAAAAATAATGTTATAATTTCCATCATACTCAAAATTTAAATAAATAAGACATTAGAATATTATAATGCCTAAACAAACTTAAATAATCTAAATAAACTACAAACATTAAATAGTAAGAATTATTATGGAAAACTCTTTTATTTGAAAATTTATTTTTATTTTGCATCATTTGACCCACTTGGTGAAACTCGTCTTTGAGTTTTGAAGTGGCAAACATCAAGATAATAAAGGAAATAAAGGCTCAAATATACACTTCAAAATCTTTAAAAAGTCAAGGCTTTTGATAGTCTTCATACAAAAATTCAAAGTTAAATATAGGTTCCTTAAGATTATGTAAGCAGTGAGGCAACATGAAATCAACTCAAGGAATCTGTTTAATGCAGTTATCATGGACATAATCACTTCAATAGTAATAGAAGATAGAACACGATTATTAATGTTGGAAGTAGAGCACGATTATTAAAGTTGGAAGTAGAGCACGATTATTAAAGTTGGGAGTTGCTTGGCATCATTAGCATGAACCAGAATATCTTAAATAGGAGCCAATATTTTTTGAGCTTCCACTAGTGCTTTGAAAGGAAGTTCACGATTTTCATCTTCCATCGCAGAGGAAGTTTTGTTCTTTGCTTAAACTCTGCTTTAATTCTCATAGGACATTCCA